GAAATATAATCGAATAGGTTTAAGGCAGTATTATCAAATGGCCAGCACACAACGAATTAATTGATGCAATTCTAAAATAAAGAAATAGCGTCAACTAATAATAAATAGGATCAGAAACTCCCTGAGTACTGTTGGTTTGAGTCGTCCCGGCGTCGAATGTCTCCACGTTCTGAACTACTAGGCCCTGAGATGCCAAGATAGGGAATTCCGTGCTCGTCGAGGTGCGGTACTGAACAGTCACTTAAAATGAACCTGTAAATGATGTCAGAAAATTAAAATTCACGATACTCTTTTTTTTTTTTTTTTTTTTTTTTTTGTTTTTTAAAATTGAGAAATATGAACAACCAAAAAATATGTGGTTCATCAAGAAAATTCAACATCTCTCATTAAATTCAGGTCCTGTAATTGTTTGAGCCACCTTTTTTTGTCTCGTCAATGGTTTAACTTTTCCATGTTAATTTTGTAGTAACTCACAAATTTGGGCCTAAATCACAGTTAAAACCTTAAACAAGCCCAAGCCCAAGCAATACAAATAATCCAACCCAATTGAAATTAAGCCCAAACCCGATTGATACAAATAAATCAGCCCAATTGAAATTTAGCCCAAGCCTAATTGTTAACTAATAAACCAACCCACTTAATTATTAAACCAACTAACCCCAAACCATAAATCATAACCCACACCCGACTGCAATGGTAATCGGCGGCTGGGATGCGTAAACTCGAAGGGGAGTGTCAAACTGTGGGGCGCCGGTCTACTGGCGGCGACGCCTTGGGTCGCGCACTCGACTGCCGCGATCGAGAACGGAGGCAATTTGCAGTTTCCTGTTAGAAGCTAAGGCGCCGGAAGGTCTGTTCGAAGCAGCCGACGGGTGGGTTGACGTCGACGGCTTGGATTCAAGAAACCGGCGACTGTGATTTGGCAAACGACAGCCTATCGGACTGGTATGTTGGCTGAAATTTTTTTATCTTTTCCTTGTCTGAGGATGACGGTTGAGGTGTGAGGGAGTTCGTTGGCGAATTGCTGCAGATGGTTGCTGGGGATTTGCAGTTTGCAGAAGGCCGTGGTGGTCACGGCAGGTCATTTGGTTTGTGGAAGTTTTGGTGCGTCTTTGTTGTGAAGTGCAGTGGACGGGAACATATGCAGAAACGGTGGAGGTGTGAAACTGGATTCGGCTGAAACGAACTGTGAGCCTCGCAACGAACACCTACATATTTTCCCAAGTTCGCTCTGATACCAATTTGATGTAGAATAATCCAGTAAACATAATAAGAAGAGAAGAGAGAAGAGAGAAGAGAGGGGAAGAAGAAGGCAGAGGCGGGGAGAGAGGAGAAACGGCTGAAGCCAACTCTTTTATTTCATCAAATTCATTGTCCCAAATAACAATGTAAGATAGGTTTAAATACTAGAAAATAATGCAAACCTAGGGCCAAGCCCAATACAAAAGTCCATAAAATTAAAATAACCTAAATTCCAACTAAAATAATTAAAATTGCTAAAAGTAATTAAAATTGGATGTCCTCATCAGATGATATGTTTGTCTCCCCTTTATAATTTAACATGGGTACTTTGACTTTCATAATTTACAGCATTGTGATATCATGAACGTTCAGTGTGTTTTCTTTTTCCCAATACAAAACTGCTGTCCCAGTATTTAACTTAATATGCTTATCAAAAATTTGAACTGTTAGAGTACCACCTTCATTTTAAATGCAGCAACTCTCATTGCAATTCTTTTGCTTCTTCTTCTCCTAGATTTAACCTTCTATTCACCTGATTTGTAGGTTTTCAGAGGATACAGCTTGACACCCTGTTTGGCTAGAAGAATGTGAGTCGTCTCCAATTTTGTGGAAGGCGATTATATATGGATATGGCCCATTTCGACCATGGATGTCGATATCATACTGGCAGTAAATAAATTTTATATATATATATTAATTTAGATTTTCTATATCCCTGAAGTTTAGTATAACAAATTGACTTGCAAATGTTCTGATATCAAGAAATATCCTATTAGATTTCTGTGGCACTTTCATTTGAAGAAGTTGAGACCGAAGGAAGTTTAACAGAGTAAAGATAAGCTTGGCTTGTGTGTTTGCTTTCATGGCAATTGGATGACCGTTGATAATCCCCCAAGACAGGGATCATGGGATGGATCAAGTTCTGGTTGATTCCGTGGTTGGGTTATCACTTTTGGTAATGATATTTCTTTTCCTTTGCTTTCCTGTTATCCTCAAAACTTGTGCTCATCATTAGTATATAGGATAGAATATTAAAGATATTAGGCAATTGAACAACACGATAGTCCTGCCCAAGCATAGACCGACCCAATAAGGTAGTCTTGTGGGCGGGGCAGAAAATCATCTTAGGTATGGGATGACAATTGCAGTAGGTAACCTGAATACTAGCTCTGGAAATTGTTGAACCTGACCTTGATCATCAAGAAGATTTTGGTCCTTGGAATTGCCGCTTTAATTTGTCAAAACTTTCATACCTCATTATGGAAGATTTCAGAGACACACTTGATAGTGGCAGGCGCAGTTCAGTTTCTGATTAGTAGAAGGAATAAGATCAATATAGCGAGTTCTGACTAAACCTACGGAGTCAGTTCTGGATATTAGAGGTCCACATATTAGCAGCTCCTTTCACATCATGGTTTGATCAGGAAAAAGATTTCATTCAGACAACATGTTTTATCTGAATCCTTTTACCCTTTTTGGTCTTCTTTGAATCTTCGGATCTAATGTATATTTTGTGAGTATTTTTCATTCTATCCCTATTTGATTTTATCCCATTATTAGCATAAATATGATGACTTGACATGTCTAAGTACTTTTATAATCGTCCATTATACGGATCCTCACATACCCTTTAAATCTTCGGATGAGTGGAATGCTGCCATGGCCCAGCTTAATCGCACAGTTCATTGTGATTATCCATGTTGGTAATACTTCGCATTTTCTGATTTGTGAACTAGTAATAATATTCTGTATAGTAACAACTAACAATTATAAATAGCTTTGCACGGCTATCTTGTGGTTCCTGTACGTATATTGTCAAGTGTTTCCAGGACGAGGACCACACTTGTATATTTTAATTTGAGCCTTTGAATATCTGCACTTCTCTATTTACATGCAAGTTTTTATCTAGTACTGTAGCATGATAAAGGTAATGATACCAATCATTTTTTGCTTGTAAATAATGAATTCTCTTTCGCTCGACAGGATAGAGATTTTTTTTGTGATGACATCAATGTTCACGTACCCCATAACATTTCTCCTCGAATACCAAGCTATAATTTTCTGGCATCTCATAATCCCTCCAAGAAAACTGGGGAAAGGTAGGATCGATTTATGCTCTATGTATTATAACAATTCTGCAACTATTAGATGGTCATCTTTTGTTATTTAAGTTCTTGTTCTACCTTTAAATTTGCATATACTGATCCACTTTTCTATCTATTTGCTCACAATGCTGCTACAGTGTATGAACAAGGCTACGTAGAACTGGCATTTGATGAAGATAATAAAGACAATTTGCCATGTTTAACAGCTAGCCCCCAAAGATTCACAACCAATCACATTCCTTGATAAAGTCATGCCAGATTATGCTTGATTTTATTGATGTGCCTTTAAGTGGTCCACAACTATATATTCTTTCACCTTTCTTGGTCAAATTAGTGCACCAATGTCTAACTTTATATTATATGTTTGAACATTTATTTATATATTTTTTTAACTTACACATACCATAGAGGAAAGTTCTTTGAAGGCTAATTCTTCTCGTTTCGCAAGTCTTCTCCCGCGTAATCGAAAAAATAAAAATTAATATAATTTGAATTCTTATATTGTTGATGACTCTCTACACTATTCAGAATCTTACATGTGTCTGTTATTTAATGATAGCATATAATATATGTATTTGTCAACATTATGACATTATTATATCACTGGTTTGTTAAATAATCCTTGATTTCTGCTATTAGTTCTCACTTGTTGTGCAAATTGCTGGCCAGAGTCAAAATTGTATGAATTGTATAATCTAAGTAGGGCTAGTTAAATAGGGATTTGCTCCCACTTTAGAAGTTTGAACATAACATAATGGAATGCAGGCCATAAAAATATGAACCTTGCAAGAAAATAAAGATAAAGACAAATAGTTAACATTATTAAAATGAACAGATAAGAGGAACCTTAAAGAAAAGGGTGCCGGCTGCAGATTTCCTGTGCAGGCCGCAACTTAAAAGAAGTGTCTGAATATCATTGTTGTAAGTATCATCATAAATAGCTTGACTGGAAAGAATATTGCTATTTAGCACCAGTGCAGTTAGAGCACCAGTTTAAGTGTCATAATGTGATAAACTCAATTGAAGGTGAAATTATGTGACCTATTTAATTGTGTCTATTATTTAATGCGACTTTAGTGCAACTCAGATCGATGTTATAACACCAACTATGCTAAAGAGCATAATTCCACCGGAAAAGATGATCTTTAGATAACCTTTTTATGGTCGTGTTCAATACATCCAATACTGCATGCAAACGTGCACTTTAGGTCTCGTATCCACCAAGCTTGAGCCAAACATAGATCAAGCCGACTCGTATTGAACTGGATGGAAACCAAAGTAGAATTCACCTACTTTGCCTCTATGAACTGATTCAATTTTTTCCCAGCTGCTCACATGCTTTGGATATCTTCAAGGCTGGCATTCTCTTTGTGGAATCTGGAATCTCATACAAAGGGGTAAAGTCATAAACTAGCACATGGATAAGAATCCTTCTTTGTAAAGTGAAGGTCAAAAGAAGATTGTTTATGGGGTGTTTTGTTGAAAAAGAGGCTTCTCAATGACTCTATTCTGTTGTCTCAAGAAGAATCAACAGAATGATATCAGATTGTGTACATATAAAATATGAGCAAAAGGATATTTCACTATGTGGTTGATAAGCAATCAGTTCACTTTCTGTATCATTATGAATCTACAGATAAATTCGAGATGACACTCATTTGCTTCTATAACCTACAAATCATGAACTGTAGTTTCATCACCTAATGTTTAAAGAAAGAAAATGGAAACTAAGTCACATAATAATTGGTGAGGGTCGAGCCTCCCATATATCGAAAACATTTTCCTCGCTGTGTAGAGAGAAGAGTCTGTCGCCTCCAATTGAAAAATCACAAATAGAACCACCATAACTGTTCCGTAGCCTTGATGTCAATACCCAATCAGGACCACCAAACACTGAAATACTATCATTCATCGATGAAAATAGCTGCCCTTCGTGCAATGCCAGTTTAGGATAACACGGTTCATCTGGCATTTTCCCCTTCATTAGCCGACTTCTTGAGCTCCACTTTACACTCCCAGCAGCAAACCTCAAATCCATAAACCCCAAATCTTCGTATTCGTTAACTACACATATAGAATTGGTGTCCTCCATAGCTATTGCGTCTCTAACCCTTCGCTCATCGGTTATGGGAGCCCCAATATCAGACCATGACCAAACCATGCTTTTATCCCTGAAATCCAGCAAACTGACGTAACAATTATCCTTCCTCGGAAATAAAGTTGCGACTAGCAAACAATTGGTACCATGTAGCCATTGTAGTCTGTCAGCATCACCAAGTGACCATCCCGATGGCTCGTAGAAAAAATCTATCTGCTTTCCAGTGACTTGATCCCAAGCACCAATACCATACTCATTGCTTCTACCTTTACAACTTGAAAACAACTTAAAATCTGAACTAAAACTCAATGCACCAGCTGTGTAACTTTTGACCTGATTCTCATGTGTTACATGAAATCTGTACCTTAATTCTCCTGTTGATGCACCGAACAACCCCATGCCTCCCTTGAACAACCCCATGCCTCCCTCGCCTCGGCGTTGTCGTTCGCAAGCACTTATCACAACGCTTTTCGAATCAACCCAAATTGCATCATTCACCCTCTGGTAATCAAGAGTGATAGGAGAATGCTCTTCTAGCATCCAATCGTAAACATGAACCATGCTTCCATGAGCTACACAGCAGCCACCATCTGGACCGGCCCGAATGGCAGTGCCATCACCGGGCGCCTGACCGGTTATGGACCGAGCCAAATGTAGCTTATTTCCATCGAATGGGCCCCACTTGGCTGATCTAACATGGTCTGAGAGGCCATAAAACAGGGCCTCCCTATATAGCAATTTTTCAGGAATGTTTGGGGGAACATGAAGCTCCCCTAATCTGAGGAGGTCAAGGAGGACTGCAAAGCAATCTGGGTTACGATCAATGAAGTGTTCAGTGGTTGCGGTGGCACTCCGTTGAAGGTCCCAATTGTCATCAAACATAGCTCCAAACAGGGAATTCCGACCCGCGTTGGCGATGGTTGTGGCCGTGGTCTCGAAGATTCTTCCACCAACATTGAACCTCACCATATCCTTTTGAATTCCCATTAATGAATTGGAACAAGTAAAATGAGAATTTGAAGGTCAAATGACGGGGGAATTGTGATGCAAAATTGAGATCTTTCTCCTAAAACCCTCACAATATAAAAGAAATTCAAAGGATTTCGAGAAGATAACTGATGATAAATGTCAGAGTGAGAAATTTGGAGTGGCTGATTTTGGAAAACACAGGGATTATATTTCTAAGTATAGAAACAACAATCTAACTCCTCAAAATTGGAAAAGAAAAGATACCTAGAAATCCTGTATTAATTAGGGAAATATTGCTGAAAATTTCGCCATTCAGAAGATTAGGAGAATCATAACAGAACTTGAAACCGGCCGTGTGTACATAAAGAGTTAAAAGAGGATTAAAAGAATAAATATATAGTCATATAGATATAAATACAGACCTTGAAAAGTTATATTCTCGAAGAAAACTGGCCAAAATTTGCGCAATTTCGATTCAATTCCATCATCGAACACAGGAGAAACAGGGGAAATTTACCAGATGCGTATAACAGAACAAGAAAAAAAAACTGTTAAGCAGCTTCTGAAAATTGAATCATCTAAATTTGGGTTTACAATCATTAGAAGAGGAATAGGAGAATTTGGAGCTGCTGTATTTCTGGAAATTGACTCTGTCTCCTCACTGTGCTGTTTAATATTTGTCTTTCATAACTAATCTTGAAGCATTTATAAAAAATCAACATGTCTGCAGTGGGACCCAATCTTAGAATAAGCCTTTCTTTAGTTTTGGATCGTACGATTCATCAAGATTTTAATCAGACGGCCGAAGGCATTACAGTGCAGGTACACCCTTGGGGGACATTTGTGTGTTTTTTTGCTGGAAATTAATTTAAGGTAGGGTAGTTGAGCCTCTCCATGAAGTCTCCTCCATTGACATACAAAGAGCGTGTCTTTTGGGTAGGGTTGGAGCGGACGGATGTTTACTTTTCTGAATGAATTCTTTAAGAATAATGTTATTTAGGACATGTTTGAGTAACTTTTTTTTAAAAAAATATATTCTTAAACAGTGATTTAATATCATTTCAATCATACATTTTTCAATAAAATAATATTACACGTAAATTCAAAATTTTTCTTTATTTTTTAACCACATATTTTTCATCAATACACTATTCAAAAATCCATTCTAAGGAAAATAGTGTGGATCAAACAAGGGTTTAGTATTAGTGGCGCTAACTACAACAATTTAAGAGCCTGTTTGGGAGTGATTTTTCTACCCAAAAAATTGATTTTTTGATCGTTATTTCACTATTACAGTCGTCATATTTGGTTTCTTCTCTCAAGGTGGACCCACTTTTCTCCTAACGGTCAAAAAATCAATTCTCAAAATCACTCATAAACAGGCTCTAAGTGATCATATTTGATATATTCAATTAAAATTTATCATGTGACATTATATTTAAGTGAAAAGTAATGTTATTCATAGTTAACAACTGCAGTAATTATCTTATTTGACAGCTTGTTATTTGTTGCATTAATTTTCTGTAATTCTATTACCTTAAATAACAAGACATCATATAAGATGATTACTGTGGTCGTAGACTATGAATAGTATTATTCGTGAAGTGATTCTATTACTTAATGTTATACATTTGTTATCTAGAGTGGTTCTTGATACCACTGATGTTTAATATCATTGCTCATTCTTTAATTATTATTTTTTATATTATTTCTTTATTTTTATTTATTCATTTATTTATTTTATTTTATTTGGAGATCGAACAGTATAATGGAATTAGAGACTTCGAGAAAAGAGTATAATAATTTTAAGAAGAATATCATAATATTTGGTACTATTTCAAATCAAGTTGATTAATTAGCACTCTAATTTGGTCTACATCGAGTTAAGGGGTGACACGTTCTACCATCACAATTATTGCTCGATTTTCAATGTTTGCATACTTTTCGGTTTGGAAAATTGGATTAATGACACAAAGATACTTAAGATAAAAATGTTTTAAGTGTACATCAATCTTTTTTCACAATCCTCTCACAAAATATGGGGCTCACGATTATTTTAATTGCGAGCTCCACCCTTGAATATGAGAGTACTATCAACAGTACTGTACCTTTAGCATCCTTGCATTTAAGATTGGTACGAGAATCCTTGATTCGACTTGTTTGGATATATAGACTAACGAGTTTGAACCACTTGCGCGTATGGGACAAATTGGATTCTAACAATTTCCGGATTTTGCAACATCAAGCAAAAAAAAACAACAAAAGAAATTAAAAATAAAATAAAAAACAACAAAAGAAAAAAGGAAAAAGAAAAAGAAAAAGAAAAAGAAAGAAAGATTGCCGCAACATCGTTGTCCATTTTTTCTGGTATTTGGGTAATCTCTGAGGTTGCTTTTGCTTCCTCTTATGCCATTTCATGGTCCATTGTCCCCACAGTGGTTTTTGAGGATATATTTTTTTTTTTTTTTGTGAAATAATTGCCATAAATGCTCCTATTTGATAGAAATTAAAATTAAAATTTTAATATAACTAAAATCAACAATTAATTTTATATATATATGAGATTAACAATTGTTCAACCACATTTTTCATCAATTTTTATCGAATTTAGTAAAATTTGATTATAGTTCTTACCAAATATATAATAAGTATATTTAATTAAGGTTGAAAACAAAATAATAATTCCAACTTCCAAGAGATAGATTTGGGATTACGATGGAGTAACAAGAAAAAAAAGACTTCATTTTCACGAAATCATCATAAAATCTAATTATCTTTGACCCAAAGCAACCAAGGATAAGCATTTAGTTAATTAATGTGACAATAATTATGACTTCATCTCATGGTATGCCCACCGACTATTCCAAATTGCACGTAATAATGAAATAATTTAGACTCTTAATTCAACTTAAGAAAATTGTATCATATTCGCTAAACTGATTGAGAAATATTGGATGTTCGAAAAAAATTTAACAATTCTAATTTTTTTTATCGTTAGAGAGAAAAATGGGTCTCATCTGTAAGTGAAGAAGTAAAAAATAACGACTAGAATAGTAAAATAACTATAAAAAATTGATTTTTTGGGATAAAAAATTGCTACCAAACGGGATATATATATAAGGAAAACTTGGGCCATCCAAGTCATGGATCATTGATATTCAAAATAAAATTAAGTTATTGGCGACAAATAACACCTCAATTATGGGAGAATGAAAAATGTATTTCAAAATTATAATCTTGATAATACGTTTCATGTTCTAAAAATCTTTCAAGAGCTTTTAACTTATATATGTTTCGCGCGGGTTAATTCGCTAACAATTAAAGAGGATCAAACGATTGTATAAGGGACGAAACATCTTGAGACAAAGTCCCAAAAAGGGGTGTTCTTTTATTGGCGATGAACTTTACAATTGGAAATGAAAAACAACGTGCCTCCAAGAGGCGCAAGCACACGAATTACAGAAAGAAAAGTGTTTAAGTCTAAAATCTAAAGAAATGAAAATTACATATTCTCTGTTCGAGAGTTTTGGATTCGGTCCTCTGCTTCTATGTCCTTTCTCCCTTTTATACTTCATAGGCGATCCCTTTGTGATTAACTGCTCTAAAAACTGCTTGATCGCCCTATAACTACTCACTTTCTTTGTAGTGGCCATTTTGTCATGAAACTGCCTTTTAACTGCTGCCATTATCTTGCATCGTTCAACCGCTTTCGATTGAATCCCTTGAGTCGGGGAACGTGATAAGGCTACTTTAGCAACTGCCTTGATAACTGCATTTCTTGATAATCACAATGCGTTATGTTTGTTGATACCTTGGGCGACTTGAAGGTTTGGGCGAGAATAGAATAACAGCTCTGGGCGACCGTATGACACTCCATTTGTTCATATTCTGAGCGACTTGCAAACTTGGGCGATGGCGTTACCGCACTCTTGGGCCCCTTATTTGGGCCTTCACCTTGATTCGTTCAATTGGATTTCGTTCTTTGGGCTATCTGATTTGGGGATCCTCCAATTGGGCTTTACTCTTTGGGCTGTTCGATTTGGGCTGAATTTTTATGTGTCAACAATTACCCCCCAATATGGCAGAATTAATAATAATTATTGAATTTTGCCATATTCACTTCATGATTGCGTCTCTTTCACGATTCACTTTTCATCTTTTGCTTTCTTGTTACGTAACTCTGAAAAGCTTCGTTCCTTCTTCAATGGCTGCTTCACAATCTCAAGCTAGCGAC